GCCTGCGGGAGCGTGGAGCCCCATCCGGTCCGATGGCTCCGTCGAGTATCCTCCTCCTCCTCCTCGACCTCAGCCAGCTGCTGGCGGTTGCCGCTCCCCCGCGCCTCCCCGCCACTGCTTGCCCTTTGTCGTCGCCGTCGCGCTGCGCTGTACTCCTCCGTGGAGCTCATCATCTTCTCTAAAAGGCACGCTTGCGCGCTGTATGCGCTGGGGTCGGGTCGGGCGATGGCGGCGGCGAGGGTCGCTGAAACGGTCTCCTCAAAGTCAGAAATGCCAGCGCCGCCGCCGCGCCGCCCCGCGTCCTTCCTCCTCCACCTGAAGGCTGTGAGGGCGCTCGCCCCACCCCGCCCCACCCCACCCGAGCAGTTCTCCGCGAATGGGTCACTTTCGTGTCCACGCTCTATTTCATCGAAATCTTAACCGATCTGAACGATTTCTTTTGCTATCTCTGCGTCTTTAAACTAACTAAACACAAAACAAATGTTACTTCGACATTAGAGTCATCCCCTCAAAAGATATTTGAACGGAAAGGGTCGAAAATGTAAGATCCGTAACCATTTTGCATGTCCACAACTCCCGATTTCGAACTTAAACTTCTCTGTACGCCGAAAGGGGACATGAAAACTGATTTCCGCAGGTGGTCTCGTGTTCTACACACATGAGGCTATGTTCTCACACTTGGCCCGTCTCTAGAAAGTCACAGATGTCTTTACACGACTGGCTCAAAAAATGTCCTCCATGGAAAGGTAACAAAAGTCATAAAGCCAGTTTTTGCCACTTTTCTACCGCAAAACTTAACATACGACAACCACGAAACTTCCCATAGATAGAGTTATGTGTCCTCCACTAGACAACACTTCAAACGCAGGTGAGGCTCGTCTGTTCGCCGCCTACACTGACTAGAACACCTAAAAACTGTTAGTGTCAAGCATAGAGTGTAAGATCCGTGCACTCTTTTGCGAAGTTTCTATTGCGAATTTAGATGAGGTTCAAACGGGGTTGTGTCCGTATTGTCAGCCTGACCCAAAATACGTCTCGCCCTTGCCGATCGGTCGTCTCGTTCGTCTTAAAGGTCCGATTTTATACGAATTTGTAAGATCCGTAACCAGTAAGATCCGTAACCATTATGAGGATTCCTTATGGGGTTTATAGGGTAATTTTGTAACTTCTGAGTGGGAGCTGGGATCTTCGAAATCTTGTATCTAGGGACAGTAGTCAGCAACATACCATAAGAAAAACTCGATAAAACAGAATTTTTTTTTCTCGACGTACAGATGTCAAAAGTGACCCATTCGCAGAGAACTGCTCACCCGCTCCATCCCTGTGTCGCCCACCCGCGTCATCCTCTGATCATAAAACCGCGCCGAACATAAAAGAGTCGTGCACCCCGCGAAAAATGCTAAATGGCACCGAGACGGGGTAGGTAACCCGACTCCCGACCCGCCTGCACTAGTGCTGCTCTAGTGCTGTGCTGTGAGTATTGGGCCCCGTTGTCCCCGTCCTTCAGTATTGAAAAATTGAAGCCGTTGTTTTTTTTTGCGGGGGGGGGGGGCTTTTTTCTCTTCTTAGGTCCTTTCTTTCTCTGCACTTCCAGCCCCGCCCCACCTCACCTCGCGGTGGACGTGAATGAAGTGGGTATAACTCAGGTCGCGCGGCGAGGGCGTGGACCGGCATGGCTGATGGCGTGCTTCTCTAGGGCGAGCGCCCCCGCCACTCCCCCGCCGAACCAACCCTTCCCACTCCACTCCCCTCGCACTCAGGGGCGGTTTGCGCCCGCAGGGATCCTTATTCGCAGTCCTTCGCAGTCCTTTTGGCGTCCGGAGTCCTTCGGGAGTCGGGCCACCACCACCACCCACTGCCGGTCCCCTCCCTGCCCCTCCCAGCCTCGCCTAGCCTCCTTGAAGGGCGGGGCTGTACACTGCGGCCGCGGCATCTTGCTCGTACCGCTCGCTCTCTCTTACTTTACTTAACCCGCTCTTCCTCTCTCGCTCCAGATGCTCGCTGCGCGCCGACTGCCAGGACGCCGCCAAGGACCCGCTGTACTGGATCTCCTACAAGAGCGGCCGCTGCACCTCCATCACCAGCGTGACGCCGAACCAGCTGCAGCGGACCACCGCCAGGACCGTGAGTATACTCTCCACTTCGACCCACCAGTGGGCCACCACGGGGTGACAGACCACGCCGCCGCGGGGCACTGACCTCTGACCTCTGTTCGCAGCTGGAGCTCGCCATCGACCATCTGCCGACGCTGCAGGGCCAGTTCCTGTGCGCCTTCACCGCGCTCGACAAGACCCTCATCACCAACGCCACCAGGAAGTCGCCCGGCATCAACTGCACCACGCCGCGCACCGACCTGCTGCCGTCCATCCCGCTCGGGCAACGTGAGTACCAGTGAAGGTGAAGGGTGG